CCCTGGCGCGGCGCCGCTTTATTTCCTATCTATCTATCTCTCTGAATTGTGTCATCCGGTAAGGTGTGAGCTCCGCGTCCCGGCCCCTCGAGTGAAGCAGTGCCGTCCCGACGATCGGTGGCAGCTCTGCCGTCCGCCGTGCGAGCCCGCCCTGCCATTCCGCTCCAGCGTCCCTGGTTTTTCTTTCTCTCTATCTCTCGTGTGTGACTCCCCAGTGCGGGCGCGGGACAGTGGCTGCTCGGGGCCGGCCGCGCGCGGCGGCGGCGCCCCGTGCGATGCCGCGCGCGGGACTCATGCGTGGCGCGTGTGTGTGCGTGGGTGTATTGCGGGTGCGGGTGGGTGCCATGTGGGTGCGGGAGGGTGCGTATGCTCCCGGTTTCTGTGGAGTGCGGTGGGTCAGAGCGCCTTTGGTGGACGGAGAGGACAGTGGCCCACCAGTCTCCGGGTCCAGCCGGGCAGCCGGCCAGTCACGTGGTCCGCAGAGAGCACCGCGACCGGTGTCTGTAACGGGCTACCCTCGGCTGTTTGCTCAGCTATTTGCCGGACAGCCAGGCTGGTCAACATACTGCCCAGATTGGATGCCCGGATAGTGCGGTGGAAAACGTTACTCGACCAACACAGATGGACGCATTATCTCAGATGCCTTAGCTCGCCGCAGAAGTGGGTATACAGCGCCTGAACATCTCCTGGGCTTTTTGCGACCATCACGAATTTGAGCGCCCGGTGTGCGCGTATCGGTGAGGCTCTGTGTATCGCGTCTGGGTCCCGGTTTGCCGCTGTTGGGTCAGCTCGCGCTGTCGTGTTCTGCATCCTGCTGCGGAGGGCGGGCCGGAGCCGCCGGCTGGCCGGGGCTGCTGGCCGCCCCCGCACGGCGTCTGTGTGTGCCGGCGTCCCGAGCGTGCTGATCGGCCCACAGAGGCCGCCCCCACAGTCCGACCCATCCCATCACCACCGGGGACAACAGGCACTGATCGATGTATCATTTCAATATATTTCTAGTGCCACCCGTGTCTTTGCTGATGGCTGGCGGAAACAAATGTGACGTAAAGGGAATGTAAAGAAGATTTGTTGTGTCTACATGATAAACCACTTCGAGCAGATACATTTCTTGCATCGGTTGGAACGTACATATTAAAGCACAATGCTACTCGCCGGGGACATTAAAAGGATACTCATGCACTACTGCTGTGCTGCATAGCCAAGGCACATCAGCTCCAACAATCGTAAAATGCTAAATGAGTACAATTGTTATGTTGCGGATACTCCTAGTTATGGGAAGCGGAAACAAAGTGAGTCCCATGCTTTTATATGGCCACGGGTACCTTTCTTCCACCACTCGCCTCAATGACGGCTTGGGAAAACTCTCTTGCGCAATATGAATATCATGATCATACTATTAATCAAACAGAAACGCTGGCCAGTATAGCTCTGCTTATGTAAGCACACCCCAAAATACCGCTCTGTAGGTCGACGTCGATCTCGCAGAACGGCTCACTTCATTTGACCACCGAGCGGTGGAGCTAGCCGCGGCTGGGTTACCTGGTAGGTGGCGCTATCACCACCACACGGACTCAGAGGGACTCCGCCGGCGCTGGCTGTCCTACATCGCCCGCCCACCGGTCTGCCATGACTCCAACTGGAAAGCGAGAGGTTTGGCTTCCTGTCGTTTAAAAGTGGCTGTTATAACAAAATAAGCAAGAACATGATGTGATAGGTAGCGGCATAGCAATAGACTGGGTTGAATATAAAACCAATGGCATTAAAACGAAATATCAATTCGATATCTACCCTTTATTATAGGTTTTTGAACAAACAATCTCATCGAATGGCAAAGGAACGAAAGACTGAAACCGTGTTAGGTCATATGAACAATGTACATGCTCGCAGATAATCATCAAAATTCTTATTACATCACTTGACAACGCTTATTTTCCCAACAATAGGTAATAACCCACGCTCATTGGTCCAACTTTAGCCTAAGCCGCGGTTGGAAACGGTCCTTAAAATGTACACAGTTGATATACTACACAAGGACACCGCCATTATTTCCAGCCAATGCCATTTTGACCAGGAACTCCGCCGAACTCGACCCTTCTCCCAGCCCGTGTTCGCCGGCCCATAGACAAGCTCTCACACTGCGTGGGTAGACTGCGCCGCCGGCCACTCGGACACTGCGGGTTGCCTACCCACCAAGTCAACTTAGACCAGCGACAACGCCCAGCGTTATTGTGGGCCGGGGTGATGCATGCTCCGCTTGTATTTCTGTTTGCACCGAGCGGCGTGCACGACACACATCAATATCCCGCGAGTTGCTGGGGGGGGGGCGTTAAACGCCCCCACTTTTTTCGCCGGGCCATAGCATAAAAACGGCGCGCCGCAGGCGCGCCAAATTTTGGGTACCTGTAGGGAATTGATTGAAGCTTATTGTGACAAAGTTTCAAAAAAATCGGTCGGAAAATTTTTGAGCTATCGAGGTTTTAGTGACGTCATGATTTCTGAGTTTTCGACCAAATATGGCACATGTTCAAAAAATCATAGAAAATCACACAATAGACATACAGACATGCCGTAAACGCCATTAGACTGCCAATACCATGAACAATCAAATGGCTATCTTCGATTATTGATTATCGTTCCGCATTTTCCAAAATCTTGAACTGAATCTTGGCAATTTCTCGTGACTACTTCACGACCATGATACATGCATTTTTTAAATTGAAGTTTTTGAGCCAAATACGTACACATATGATAAAATGAATGTTACCATCGTGTTCTACGCCCCGAAGTACCCATAAAACATGTGTCACAGGCTGCGAATATCAGTTTTGATTTTCGGGGATATGTGCCTACCCGGTTGACCTGACCTTGACCCTGACCTATGCTTGATTGACCCCTACATGGAGCTGACACTCTTGTAGGCCTTATATGATGGATTGTGCACCGTTTTGACACAGTTTATGACGAGAGGCGCCCATTGCGAAGTCCTGAAGTCCATGCTACTGAAAGCCCAATTTCAGGTGTTTGACCTGACCTTGACCCGACCTGTGACCTCAAAATTCAACTTTAAAGTACTCATCTGAAGCGTCTCGTCGCGCTCTTTCGTTTGCCGCCTCGTGCGTTTCACTGCGCCTATTCGTTCTCGAGTTATCGGCTGGGGGCGTTTAACGCCCCCCCCCCCAGCAAACGGTGGGTGGCGAAATACCCCAGCAACTGCCGGGATATGTGATGAATACAGCACAGACGCGGATCAGCGTAAACACTAAGCTAGCATACAGACAACATAATATTATATTATAATTAATAGGTCATTTGCGAATTCGGAAAGTGATATTGGACGCTCGTTTCTTCGCTATTAGCGTCGTCAAACTTAAACTCAAGTTTGACTCAACTACGGTGTCGTAAAGGATTAATCGGTCAAAATGGACGTTTTCATCGCTGCAGCTATTTTTCTCGTCACATAACTTGAATGTAATGCTTTTATGACATCAATGTTAACGTGATTGTATTTTTCTCATTGAGATGCGTGTGATTTAGAATCATATCATCATCATGAACGTGATTAATAATTAAATACGATTTACAATCAAGACCATGTAGAAAGTACCTTAGTAATTTCTAGGATTAGTTCGCAGGTCATGACACAGAAGTTATTGAAGGTAAACTTTTCCGATTTCGAAATTCCCGGACAAATCTGTTGTATATGTAGCATGTGAAAAAAATAAAGCTAGAACATCGCAGAAAATCCTATACCTATCTCTTAAAAATGTCCTAAGCAAATGTTTTTAGTTTTGAACAAGGGTAAACTGCATAGTCCGGAGGGCAAAACCGTAAAATTTGTCGACATTATCATTATTTTTATTTTTTTGCAATAACTCTTGACATAAAGCTTGAATGACATTGCTTTTAACGATATCAGCCGTTTTCACGACGGCCATCTGGTACACATTTGGTGCACATCTGGTACAGATTAGGTGCAGATTTGGTCAAATCAGGTTCAGTGTGTCTCTTAGCAGCTATCAGCTAGGGTTGCACTTATTGCTATATGCCTGCTTTGTCATATTATCAGAGAGCATTATCGTTAAAACACTGAAATTAATTCATAAATGAAGATATTTGCTGTAAAAGAAATTAGGTGCAGATTTGGTCAAATCAGGTGCATTCGCCGGATAATCCGTCGTGAAAACGGCTATTGTGTCCCTCGTTAAGTTGCGTCAAATGAATTATGACTTGACCTCAAAAGGTTAACGGTAAAATCTCACCTTATGTCAAACTCGCGACCTAACATCAAAGTCTTTATAATAAAAAAGACTTTTGTGACCTCTCATGACCATAAAGATATATGAGGTCGAAGTTGCATTTTCAGTATTCATGTGATGTGGCTGACCTAGTGACCTGACAATGAGCGACCTCGATCTGAAATTTGCTTGGCTCGCGGAAAGATGCATCGGAATATTTGTTCAGTGGCGCCGATAGCATTGCTATAAAAATATGGACTTCTGAGCGATGCAGTAATAGCGAACACCTGAAAGCATGTAAAAACCACCGCCCCTGGCTAAGAGCATTGCGACTCATCTCCGAATAGATACAAAAACGACTGCAAGCTGACTCACAGTCCTAAATCGATGCCATGATCGTTATGGTCGTAAAGGAGCACGGCACCCCAACATGTACATCCGGCCAGTTGCCAGGCTGCCGACCGTTTGTCTTCGCAGCTCCGGCGGAAGGCTGAGCTTCCGCGGCCGGCGGCGGCGGGCCTCCAGAGCAGCCGCCCCCGCCCCCGCCCCCGCCGTGACACCTGGTCCACTTCCGGCGGCGCCAGGTACGGAGCGCGGTGGCCGGCGGCGGCGGCGGCGGCGGCGGCAGCTATCTCCTCTCCCGACCGCCGCCGCCGCGCCGCCCCGCCCCCGGCCGGCCGTAGCCATTCATATCGGCGCGGCGCGACACGGCGCATGCGCACCACGGCCGAGCACGACGGCGGCCGGCTCGGCGGGCACGTCAGTCAGTCGTCTGAATCGGAGAGCGCTGGTCGCCTCTGCTGTGACCGGTCCGGACAGCCAGCGGATCGGGGAGAACGAGCGCCAGAGACTGAGAGAGAGCGCTAGCGAGCGGGCAGACAGCCAGAGAGAGACGGTGCGGCGCGGATTGCTGTTCGGCTGACGATGCTGCTGACGTACCACGTTGACGGATTGACGGGCTCCGGAGCGCATGATCAGCTGGTGCCCAGTGCGTCGCCGCCGTTAGAGTTTATGTCGGAGCGCACACACATGATGCACCCGCCCACAGCAGCACAACAGGTGAGTGAAACCGCCCACAGCAGCACAACAGGTGAGTAAACCCCGCCCACAGCAGCACAACAGGTGAGTAAACCCCACTCACAGCAGCACAACAGGCGAGTAAATCCGCCCACAGCAGCACAACAGGTGAGTAAACCCGCCCACAGCAGCACAACAGGTGAGTAAACACGCCCACAGCAGCACAGCGAGTGAGTAAACGCGCCCACAGCAGCAGAGCAGATGAGAAACAGAATAAGCCTTCCCTCACGGCTCACGGCAGGATAAGAGGTAAGGAACAAACCCGCCCACGACGGCACGAAAGGCAAGCAATACATCGAATCACAACAGCGGAGCAGGTGGGCAACCGCCCACACAATAACCACAGGTAAGCATATGTGCAGCGGACCCGCCCACAGCTGCCAAACGGTAAGTAGCGAAGCAGTAGTGAGATTTTACGTTCCGGTAAGAAAGTCACAACTTTCACTGAACATTTTTGTCAATGCTTCAAACCCCGGTGTACCAAACTGTAAGGCGACTGTTGATCTGTAAAATGAGTAAATATTATGCTTATTGCTTGTGTGCATCATAGTATGAACAATGCTGATGAGACATGCTCGTTGCGCTGACCGAAGCAAACCCTGACGCACGATGTTGTTGGTGCCCCCCACCCCTCAACGCCCCCCATCCACTCATCGACACGGCTACCAAAAACTGACGTCTTGCTCTACTATGAGCGATGTCACTGCACTGCCCCAGCAAATCAGAAGACCTATCGTACATAATAATTCCACTGGTCACCTACTATGGACGTCAAACCCCTTGAGACCCCACTTTTTTGCGATAATTTTTAAATGCGTCAACTCTTGTTGACAATATTCTGGCAATGTGTGTTTTAGAACCTGCCGAAACTTTTATTACTAAGGTATTTTGACGCCAAACGATTATGAAAGGTACTTCTCATTCACTCGTAATGTTAAATTTCACGGAACGAATCTGCTGTTTGGGTAGAGGCTACGCGCTCATGGGGCGGAGCCACGCAATGACGTCAGCGCTAAGCTCCGCCCTACCCCTCCGGCGCTCCTTGCCCGGCGACCGGTCACTCGCGTCTCTCGCTCCATTCAGGCTTGATGGTGGGCGGTAGCTGGTAGCGGTAGCGGGCGCTGGTAGATGGCATTTAGAGCAGATGGCGCTGGTGGCGGGACTCGAGTGTGGCCGAGCGCAAGCCTCTGCCCGGGCCTGAATTGACCTTAGCATTACGAGTGAATGAGAAGTACCTTCCATAATCGTTTGGCGTCAAAATACCTTAGTAATAAAAGTTTCGGCAGGTTCTGAAACATACATTGCCAGAATATTGTCAACGAAAGTTGACGCATTTAAAAATTATCGCAAAAAAGTGGGGTCTCAAGGGGTTTGACGTTCATAGTAAACACTTGACCCAAGCCGAGCTGACAGGCTGCGACCCCCACCCGACCTGCTCCACGTCTGTCGTTCATCCAACCGCGCTCTCAGGTGCCCGTGGTGTCATGAGCAATGTGCACACGAATCGATGGATCACGTACCACAAAACACCGCGTGCTAGTTCGTTTATCGATTCTGCAATGAAACTCCATTATCTTTACTCTGAAATTGCATGCCTCTTATACGGAATTTCGCGTGACTACTCCGGTTCGATGCAGGAAGTAATGATGACTTTAGAGGTCATTGAAATAATGATTTCGATTTCATATTCAATTTATTTCAGCTCGATACCATTTAACTGTCCGGATTTGCAAAGTCAGTGACATTTGCTGCTCAACGTTTAAATTGATTAATCTAGCCCCATTATCAAGTGGAGAGATCCCGTTTCTAATAGACAGAGCTCATTGTGTGTTAAACATTTTTAGAGCCGAATGACAGACTAGCGGCTTTTCTTCCCTGACAGCGAGTGGGCGACTAGACTGCAGTGCTCAATGTGTGCGTGTGTGGGGGGGGAGGGGGCGACCACGCGGTCGTATGCGTGGGTGTATGCGGGGGCATAGACGTATGCGTGCTGAAGCTTCCCATCGCATTGACGATACGTCTAGACGGATCACACTTTGACGCTAGTGAGACGCTCGTAAATACCGTCCAGCTCACATTTCCTCAGTTTGTGTTTGCATTCAGCGCTGCATACCTGTCTCGTCTCAGTCATGACGTAAACGTCTCTTTACCGACGGCGGCTGTGACGGAGGCACCGCTGGGAGACCTAGCCCATGCCAGCCTGATGCAACAGCTTGTCGGGCCGTGCACTGTGGGGCCGTGCGGAAGGGGCGCCGCTCCTTTACCACTCAGGTGCAAACGTCATCACGTTTTGGTACCTAGCGTAATACGATGACAGAGTCAAAAGGAATTAGGAAACCAGGTGGTCCCTGCAGGACAAGTCCGCCACGTCCTGTTTCCAAAGCACATCCGTCTCACACTTGGCACTATAGGCGGACAGCCGAAGTGTCCAGCTCCTGCAGAGCCACTTCACCGGCGGTGGGCAGACAGCGGTCTACATGCCTGACACTACCAATACCGGAGACATTTGATAGTTTATTTCTAGGCGACACAACCAATCATCCACCCAATCAGAGTCTGCGGGAGGCGGCTGAATGGGCCACTGAGTGTCGTAGGCATTGATCTTGTCGCCCCTTCATCCCCCGAGTTTTGAGCAGCTGTTCAGCTTAGTGCTTACAAAGCACCTTTCACGTCGAAGTCTGGCTGCGGCTTTCAGTTCACGTATCAAAGATCCCAGTGTGAGCCCGGACACCCACTGTGACCCGTACCAGAGATCATGATCTAGAACCGAAAGCGCTGGACGTGACGAAACGAAACGCGTGCTTCTGGGGATGACGCAACGCCGCGATATCGCAACATGACGAGGACTGACCGATCCAAGATCGGAGCCTTTAATTAAACATCAGCTACTTTATTGAGTCACTTAATGGATGTAGATGAAAATGGTTACGCTGCTATTTCGCAGCCAAGAGCAGTTTCACTATTCACGAGCTACTTATTATTCGTAATTGTGAGAGGCACTTGATATCGCTGATATGTCAAGAGCTGGCCCGCTCAAACGGACGTTCCGAAGGAAGAGCGGCTTCGTAGGAGGTCTGAGATTAGGACAATCTCTGCTGAGTCAATAGTGAAATAAACTGTCAGTAAACAAACCGATATGCTTTCAGAATGCGAGCACAATGTCGATAGTCATACACCAGCCATCCGTCCCGTATCCCGGCTCCGTCCCCACTGACCTTTTCTCTCCACCACTGTCTGGCAGGCAGGGGACGAGATGAGCACAGTTCTGCAGAAGAGCTGGGGCCCGCCGCGCCTCGACCCGCCCGAGGGGACCGAAATGGACACACTCCCCGACAACTACATGGAGATGGCCGACCAGCCACGCAGAGAGTCCGCCTCGCAGATCGACGAGTTTTTCACGTCGGCGGCGCGGCGGCGCTCGTCGTTCACAGCCATCCTGTCGGCGCTGCACGGCCGAGACGAGGACGACGTGTTCGTCAAGCCGGAGCCGGAGCCGGAGCCGGAGCCGGAGCCGGCGCCGCTGGCCGGCCTGCCGCCCGTGCAGGCGCCCCTGCCGCCGCTCTACCCTTCAGCGCTGCCGCCGCCCGAGCCGCGGTTCGAGTTCACGGCTCCGGCCGCGCCGCCGCCGCACCCGCCGCCGCCGCACATCAAGTGCGAGCCGGGCGTGTACAGGATGCCGTCGGGTTTCGGCGCTCCTCCGACCCAGGGCTACCACCCGGCGGGGTACGGGGGCGGGCCGCCGTACCCGCTGCGCTGCTACCTGCCTCCGACTCCGCCCCACTCGGACCCCGGCTCGGCGAGTCCCGAACAGCTGGCGGCGGCCGGCCGGCGCACACCGCCGCCCCCCTACCGGCGCCACGTGGGCTGGCCGCCGGCGCCGACACCGCACCACCACCCGCTGGCCGCCGCTGTCGACGGCAGGCACCTGTCTGCTCCGACAGCAGCCACCAGCATAGCGCCGCAGCAGGCCACCGAGCCGCGCCGCTACAACCGCCGGAACAACCCCGAGTTGGAGAAGAGGCGCATCCACCGCTGTCACTTCACAGGTGAGGACAGAGAGAGAGAGCGGCCGCCGACGGGCTACCGGGGAGGGGAACGGCAGGACCATCGAGTTCTCTAGAACAGTGCACCAAAGCATCACCATAATCGTGTTTTTGGACCAGTTTCACACCCAGCTTTAGTCTAGTTACGTGACGCGGTGCATGCCTGGATAATGTGCCGTGCGGGAAAGTGAGTCACTGCAGAAAACAGGTGTTTGCTGGGTGTGTTGGGGATTATGTTAACGGTCCGCGCACCCAGTCTGAATTAGTCACATGCGGCTCAAGGCCAGTCAAGCTCGGTTCCCATGAGGCTGATACATTTACGGCATCATGTCGAGACTGCCTGACACGGGCAGATTGCAGAAATACGACCGTATTTGCTCGGCTAGAGGTGAAATCCTTCACAAATACCTCGGTGACTTGCAATCTGCAGATATTATATCACCGACAACTGAGCGGGATAGATATCTCTGGTACTTTAGTGAGATTGGCCGTCTTTTTTCAGGTTGCACCAAGGTGTACACGAAGAGCTCACATCTCAAGGCGCACCAGAGAACCCATACAGGTGAGGCGCATGCTGTTCTTACATGTTGTCCGTGCTCGGCTGCTTTTTTCTGATGTTCATCATCCACATTACATTTTTTTAGACGTAAAACAAAACTCTTGAAACGTCGGGTATGATACATATCAGTCCTTTGATCGTCATACAACGATTCCCTTCGAGACGATAAATGTGTGCCGCGGAAATCCACACAACACCGCACGGATCGAAGCTATCCGAGTGGAACCATCTCCTCTCGGACTCAGCGCACGTCCTGTGGCGGTGACGGACGTAGTTACGCCGACCTCCGACCAGTCCCTTCTCCGAGACAGGACACTACATAAGTCTCTCCGCGAAGTCACGGTCCGTCGGCGGCTCAGTGCCAATCCATCGCGCTCAGAACCGACGGCCGCTCCGGCAGACGCGCGGCGCTTTGTCTTTCAAACTATCTGCGCTAGCGGTTAACAGCCCAGCTTTCCCGGAAGCTAATTTAAGATTCACCACCGATCGGCATGTCGGAGGAATGTATGCACGCGAGGCCGCCTTTCTCTAGGCAGGTTCTAAGCCGAAACACGATTATGGGTATATATTTAAACGTATTGATTCGACCGCCCATGATTTTTACTGACACTAATGTGCACAATCTTCTCGCATTGCATACATGCATGCATGATAGTAATATGCACCATGGCGCATAAGTGACGGTGAAAAATCATAACACATTCAATCAACACATTTTTGCATACTATTAAGACACAACGGATCGCTTTAGGCCCATCGGCTCCGTCACAGCCAATCACGAATTAAACGTGACACAGAGAAAATAGAGGAATGACTTGCAGACACTTTAGAAAGTCGATTTGCTGACCGAACGTGCCACTATGGAACGCATGGAGAACCTCTCTGGTCCTCCTCCGAGCACCGCTCTAACGAAGACCGAACACCGGTCGTCAACTGTCATTCCTCGTCACGGGTCCACTTTAGCGTCGAACTGCGGGGCTCCGGCGGCCCGCCAGTCGCGCCGGGCCGCCACTACGGGCTCGGCGGCTCGGCGTCTCGCGGCGGCCGCTGCCCTCTGCATGCAGATGAGGTGCCGCCGGCGCTCCACGGCGGCTGCAGCTCTCTCAGCTCACGAAGCGGCATGATGTCATCCCGTGCCGGTATAAATAGCGTCCGGCCGGCCGCCGACAGTTGAGAGCTCGAGCCGCGCGACGTCCGCTGAAAACGGACACCGGCCACCGCACGGCACTTTCGCCGATATTTTCCAGGTGACGACTGGAATGTGGCTAAACGGCCGAAGGAGATAAAATTAACCCAGATATACGTCGTGAATGCCATGTATCATAGTCCAATTTATCGATTGGAGGTTATTTGTATCGTGTTCCATTGACGGCACGGAGACTGCTTTTTTAAAGGTCTTTACAAATAATGATGATAAAACGCGCAACAATTCGAAGTGGAATAAAAACCACCATGTTTATCATTTGCCTCTTCTGAGAAGCAAACGAATCGACTTGTCGCTCTTAAGTCATCTGTCATGCATCGTAAGCGATTCTTCGAAACTGAGGCAGTTGTTTACAGAAGCCTCCGCTATTCCCAAGTTGACGACCGACGCTGTTGAGCTCGACTAAAACATCTCGTTTTTCCAAGCCAAGACTGAGGCAAAACCGAAGATAAAATAAATTCTGACTTTTGATAAATGACTGTCTAATCGTTGATGCGCGTGCCAATTGACTCTTTGAGTTAAATGACAGCAAATTACAACAGGATGTAAATTTGTCGCGAAGCCATTTTTTTTTCAAGAGATGGTGAGCGCAGAGCAGCGAGACCCCGAAGCGTTCGAGCCCACCGCAGTATTCAGAGCAACTAATCGTCTGTAAGCGCAGGGCTGCCTCCGGCGCACCGCAGCCCATGCCACTCGACCGCTGCTGCGTCCTCCATAACCCCACATAGCCGGCCTGGCTCGGATGGTGCACCTGCACCTTTCCTCTCCGCTCATGGCTGCCGGTGCAGTGCTCGCGCGCGGCGCGGCGCGGCGCTCCGGTGGCGTATGCGGCGCAGTCTGCGGCGTGCAGCGGCGCACCGGCCGTCGGACCGCATTCCTCGGCGGTGATGTCAGCGCGGTGCGGCGCCGCCGGCCGATCGGCGGCGCTCGGACGTACTGCAGCCGAACGGTCGGCGGCCGGCGGCGGCTCCTGACACGGAAGACAGGACGGCGACGGCTCGGAGGGCACTACACGCTATCAGCTCACCGCCAAGCAGCGATAGTAGCGTGTAGATCAACTGCTCTATTGATAGATCTGTACTGCCGCTATCGGCGGGTTTGCAGAGCCGTCTCGAACACCTATCACTCGTCACCATCAAGCAGTCCCGTGACCCAATTGCCGCCGTTCCGCAATGGCTATTTTCGATCTCGACGCGTCTGCACATTGCACGGGGGTCACATGCTCGGACCGTAAGGCGGGGCCACACCGGACCGATCTGATTATTTGTGATCCCCTCCTAGCTGTTTATACTGGACCGGTCTGTTAATGCTCGTAGCGGCCATCAGTGCCTGCAACATTGCCCGTTTGACAGAAGGTGTTTACTCAGCGGAGCCGGCCGGTAGCAGTGGCCGCTGGACCGCTCTAAGATATCGCCGAGCCCGCTCTGTGATCTGTGCCGCGCGACGATCGGTGACCTAGGGTTCAGAAAGCGTACGAAATACGAAAGGCCTAGGAGTGTCGATTCGATCAGAACTTGACGGTCGCTTTCAGACAGGGAGCTGCAGAGACGGTACAGATAACGAATAATCGCATTTTTATTGCTGACAAGACATAATTATCCCATATTATTACATATGCAATCCATATGCCTGCTACATTATTGAATAAATAATAAAATCAGTATGTCTGTCGTGTGAGTATTATGAGCGCTACGGGCGCCAGACGTCTGTATTTACATCCTGCACCTGCCGGTGACCCTGATGACGCGGTCCTCACCTCACCCTGAGCCGCCGCCGCCCCAGCTGACACCCGTCTGTTCCGTTCCCAGGCGAGAAGCCCTACCTGTGCTCGTGGGAAAACTGCAACTGGAGCTTCGCACGCTCCGACGAGCTGACGCGCCACGTGCGCAAACACACCGGCGCCAAACCGTTCGTCTGCAAGACCTGCCACCGCGCCTTCGGCCGCTCTGATCATCTGGCGCTGCATCGCAAACGACACGAGCCCAAGGCGAAGAAGTAGCAGCGGGCGGCGGGAGGGGCGTCCAAAGAGGCGCCCGCTCCGTAAGGTGCCCCGCACAGGTCAGCGGCACCGCTGCAGATGTACCGAGAGGGGCGGGCTGGGGATTCGAGCGGTAGGTAGTCTCCATAGTGTTAGTGATGTGGATTTTGATAGGTGATAAGGTGCATGAAAAAGTGTACGAATGGTTTGTAGGAGGAAAAGGGTTACATGTGTTTCTAGGGAAAGTGTCACCAAACAGTAAGAAGTGTATCAAAATCAGATCGAAGCCGAAAGCTCCATATCAAATCAAATCAAAGAAGAGGCTCGCTGCACTAAGTGCCATACATGTGCCAATTCATCATTTTCACAGTTGTCCGTAGCAGCAGACGAGGGCAGCCTCTTGTTGTGCCGACCGTCGTACACTGACAGCCGGTTGCTGACGGGCAGTCACTGCTGGACCCGAGTCGGGTCGCCGGGGCCGGCGCTGCGGCCAGCGCGGCTGCCCTGAGGGGTGCCGCGCCGGCCGCGTCGCCGGCCGTATGAGACCCAGTGGCCGAGCCGCTGGGCCGATGAGGCGACTCTTGGAGTGCTGCCGGTGCCGGTAGCCAGTGTTCAGGTATCGCCCCGCCGCCGCCGCCGCCGCCCGGGTCGGCCGCACCGTGCCGCCCTCCCCGCGGGGACGCCGCCCGCGCCGCCCGCCGCCCGCCGTCCGCCGCCGCGCCGCCCGCGACAGAGGCGGCTGCTGACCGCCGCTGTCGCGCCGCGGGCCGGCACACCACGTACGGACGCCCTCCGTATGGTGCCGCGCCCGGGACGTACGCGCACTGCGCGCAGTATGTCTGTATTTAGAGCGCGCTCGGCGGCAGTCGGCGCCGGCGCCGGCCGGGCCCGTGTCCCCGCGGCGGAGTCGCGCCACGAGCCGCCGCCCCGCCAGGCCGCCGCGGCCGCCGGTGGCTGACCTGACCTGACCGCCGCCCCCGCGCGCACCCAGACCGACCGAGTGCCGGCGGTGCTGCCGTCCGCTCCCGCGTGTCCCCCACGACCGTCCGCCACAGTCGCGGCCACCTCAGCCGAGCCAGCGCGCCAGTCGCGTCTGACCTCGGCCCCTGCCCCGCTCGGCAATCGTGTTCAATACTCACAGGCATACATAGCTGGGCACCCGCCCAGCCAGTGCAGAGCGACACTTCAGTTCAGTCATTCCACAGTTCATCATGGTTCAGTCATTCAGTTCAACATTTTGTGCCATCATCTGTGTGCAATACGCATCATGCTGTGATTTATACATTCCACAAAAGGTATAATTTCAAGTGCCACAGATGGCTTTATGCGGCCGTGACTTCTGAAGATGTTTTTCTGGTGACGTGTAAGCAGAGAGGTGAGAGAGGATGACAAGGCACGAATATTTGTCAAGTGCCGTGGACGAGAATGGAAGCGAATGATTGTCCGTAAGAAAGAGCTGTCTTGCTTGTTAGGAGTCGTTGTTCTTGTTCTGTGCTGAGTAGCTGTGAGTAATTTTACGAGGTGCCATTTTGCATTTGACGCCCAGATGAAGGCTTCACAGCGGTGTACAATTTTGGTACAAGCTTTATATGTTACTGTAAATGGCTAGCCTACTGACAATAACGCCAACCACATAGACGTAATTCAACCAACACACTAACTGTAGGCGTAGGCTAGCTTCCGGTAAACATTATTCCCTGACTGAGTAGAACTGTCTCCTATTTTTGTTTGATAACAAGTGCGCCGTGCGTTCTGGCCTCCGCTGGCTCTGCTTACCAGACGTACCGTCAGACGTATCGTCCGGTCCTTCCTCAACTGCATATGCCTGCCAATCCTCAGCTGCCCGTCCTCCCGGTCTTTTGCTGCCCGTCCATCCACAGCTATGGTTCAGGTCTGCTGAAGTTAAAATGTGCTGCCAGTCAATATACAGAGCTGTTCAATATTCATCCCTCCAAACCACAGCTCCGTGGAGTCAAACGGCGATCAACATCCCAAACCAGTGTCCTTCATTGACTGCAGTCCATCGGGCCAGTCGTGGAGATCAATTACATCGTCTACTAAGCTAGCAATGAACCTAATTCCACCATCCACCAGGTTGACCGTGCAGACCAATTCCACCATCCATAAGGCCGAAGTAGTAAGCCGAATTTCACCATCCACCAGCCACGCCAGCAGTGCAGACCACCGTCCATCAGTCCAGAAGCTGAATTTTGTCATCCACCAGACCAGCAGTGCGGATGAATTCCACCATCCACCAGCCAGGCTAGCGGTGCAGACCACCGTCCATCAGTTCAGAAGCTGAATTTTGTCATCCACCAGACCAGCAGTTTGGCTGAATTCCATCATCCATCTTGTCAGCTGTGAAGCTTTTTCCATCCTGCCCCAAACCAGCAATGCAGACAGCTTCCATCACCTACCAGTTCAGCAATGTGGCCCAATTTTACCATCGATCGGGTGCAGCGCAGGTCAATACCAGCAACCACTGCAACCTAAAAGTGCAGCCTCCTTACAGCATCCACCAGGCCGGCCAGCAGTGCAGCTTTTTCTGGTCACCGAACAGGCAGAATCATTTCAAACATCCAAAAATCCATCAAACAGCCCTTTTCTGCCCGTCACCAGATCAGCAAAGCAGACCAACCCCTCAATCCATCAGCCCGGCATTGCACCCCACTCCACCATACATCAAACCAGCAGCGCAGCCAGTTTCCAACCTGCCCCGGACCAGCGGCCAGCCCTGTCGCGCCAGACGAGCTCGGTGCAGACAGCGCCGGCCGCTCAGCCGCTGTCCCGGCGCCGTCTCGCTCGCAGCGCCCGTTTTCCCATGTGCCGCGACCATCGTGTCCGCCTGTGAGCGCCGCCGAGCCCTATCTTATCCGAGGAAAGTCCGGCAATCGGTGTGTGGCCGCGCGGAAAACGGGCCGCTTGTGACACGTGGCGGCCCTGTCCGGCTCTCCTGCTGTTCCACCCGGCTGACGGTACCTGGCCAGACCCCCGCACCGCACCACACCGCACCGCTCAGCGCAGAAACGCGCGCACATCGGTCCAGGCTGGCCAACAAACTCCGCGCACTGTAAATTGGTAGACGTCTAAATCTATCCAACCGAGTGATCTTCCAACTCCAAAGCCAAAGGATAAGAGTGCCTCCGTTTAGCGGCCCTCACGTCGCAGAGGTGACCGGCGCGCTCGTGCGCGTCGGGAGTTAGCCAGGCGCTCAGGTCGCAACAGGCAGGACGACCACTACGCCAATCGTAATGGATCTCAGGGTAACAAGTACATACATACAAACGCCAGCCATGTCCAGTTCGGAGCCTGCCAACAGACTGTCATATGCTTGAGCTTTTTTGTTCTAAAAAAGCTCCAAGCGAGACAGGTGTGCGCTGCGCGCGCCTTGCTGCCGCTGCCGCCGGCCGCCGGCCCCGAGCCGCGCCGAGCCGCAGTCAGCGGCATCCAAGGCGCTTTGCGCAGCCGCCGGACGGCCGCTGCCCGTGCCCGTCCGCAGTATTACACACCGGCTCCGACTGGCCGCTGTGTCGGCCTCGCCGGGACCATTTACACAGGCAGAGGGCCGTTCCGCCGGGCTGGTCCCGTGCGGCGGTCCGCACTCGCCACTAGACGCGCCAGCCGCTTTATATACACATTTTTATTTTTAGTTTTGATGTTGTGATGATGCATTAGATTCGGCTTCGCGGCGTCTCGTGAAGAGTGTTTTATGTCGTGGTGTTTGAAGCGCTGGTCGCCTGCTATGATCTGTGGGCTGATACCGTGCCCTGCCGCTGTGGCAAGGAGGAGGAGGAGAAGTAGAACACACTCTGTGATCTGTTCGTGATGAGGCTATGGTCCAGGGCCGTCCTTTGGTGTGACCGGGAACCCGGAGACCCGTCTGTAGGCCGCAGGTTACGGCTGAACGGCCGTACCGACCGTACTGCTCCGTACCGTACCGTGTACGGGTCGCACCGAGTCGTACCACACTGAAAACAATTTAACCCAAGGCTGGCGAGTAAACCGGTGTTTTGCAGGTACCCCTATCCGCAACCATTTTTAACCACTCTCCCTGGAGTACAGTAAGGTCCCATTGCAGTGTAGTCGTCCCTGCTCTCAGCGGACTTGTTCGCTGACAGCGGTTATATCCGCTCAGAGCAAGTACGACTACACCGCAATGGCACCTAGCACTACTCCTGGGAGGGTGGTTAAAAATGGTTGCGGATAGGGGTACCCGTAAAACACCGGTTTACTCGCCAGCCTTGGGTTAAATTGTTTTCAGTGCACGCCGTCCCGGGTCGTAAGGGACCGAACCGACCACTGCTGGTCGCTGGGGAGGTTTTCGCTGCCTCACCAATGTATTCGGGGGAAATTAGTGCTGTGAAAAACGAGGGACCACATGTTATATCTGCTCAAGCCGTTGGCATTGCGCTGCCACTCGTTGCGTGGCCACTATCGGAGCGCTCGCTAGGCAGCCGGCGCTCGGCGCTAAAGCATCGCTTGCCATCGGTTTGTGCTCGGTTCACGCCAGGCTGAGTTGGGTTCGCGCTGAGTCAGAGGAACTGAAGCGCGCATTTTGGGACGGGGGAGGGGCGTAAGAGGATTGTGGCTTGTTTTCCTGCGTAGGTACTGCACCTCGTTGTGTAGGCGTGCATGGTTTACATGTGTGGGCATGTTTTTTTGTCATGGAGTGATTGTTGGTGTATATCGTGGGAGCGGATGGTTTTAGGCTTAGCCGATGTAGGTGTAAGGCCACTGTAAAGTAAGGTGTAAGCTTATGTGCGTGACAGAGGAGTGAATGGGCATGGCCGTGCATTGCGCACTGCTTGTTGTTGGCAAGGTAGTATGAATAGCATGTGAACATACAATGTAGGTATGCGTCAGATAATTGTAATTCGTCTCAGATCACAAATGTCTCCTGTGTGCACGTCTAAAAACCTTCCCACACATCACACAACATTGATGCGCGTGAGCGAACGCCCTGACATACATACATACACGTAAGCGCACTTCTCCAAGTGTAGCATCGCGTTGGTCGTATGAAGTGGTATGATGTGAGCATTGCCTCTTATCGTGTGATCGATTGATAGTGTGAAGTGAGTGAAACAAAACCGCGATGTGGCATGAAGTGTGTTTGGAACCTATCTTCGGAACCACTTGACGAAGGCTCGGCCACGTTTTTACTGCATGTATGTGTGTTTGCGCGATGAGCGGGATACTGTTGGCTAAGTTTCGTGTTATGTTTTAATCTGTCGGCGCATTGGCGTCGCTAGTGGTATAGATATGAGCTAGCTAAGTTGAGGCTTGTTTTTTAGCTGTGTTAGTCGCGTGATTGTTTCGACGCTTGCGTTTTCTGCTTTTTACTGCATTGGGGAGAGCTACATGTCATGGGGTTTCAAGGGGCTCGCTTGGGTAGCGGACTGAGTGAGTGCATTTTCTCATGGTGTGCTGGTGAGCGAGAGCGACGCATTCATAATAAATTTACTAGTATATAGTTGCTTTGTGTGTGAAGGAATGGGGACTGATTGGGAGAGGAACATCGGGCATACACGCCAACAGGACACAAGCTCTGTGTCATTCGTTCTCTACATAGACGGCTACTGGCAAACCAAGAGTAGCAAGTCGAATCGATACACGAATGACATTCCACTCTGACATATATGATATTATGTCACACGAGCTGAACTAGCGGTTCTGATTGATCCTAACGATTGATTAACGCCATGCTGTGGCGCTTATTATTTACAACTGACAGCTAATTATCAGCGTGCGTTCTTTATAGCAATGAAATTTCAGTAAACAATATGGACTGTTCAATTATTAGTAAAATGTTTAAGTAACGGTTTGAAACATTCCAAATCCACAATAGCCGTTTTCACGACGGCCTTCTGGTACACATTTGGTGCATATCTGGTGCAGATTAGGTGTAGATTTGGTCAAATTAGGTTCAGTGTGTCTCTTAGCAGCTATCATTTAGGGTTGCAATAATTGCTTATATGCATGCTTTGTTATATTATCAGAGAGTATCATCGAGTATAACACTGAAATAAATTCATAAAATAAAGATATTTGCTGTAAAAGAGATTAGGTGCAGATTTGGTCAAATTAGGTGCACTCGCCGGATAGCCCGTCGTGAAAACGGCTAATAAGGACCGGTTCTGTACCCAACTATGTTATTGGTGGCGACATTAATCAATAATTACAGTGTCTGCTCCGTTTATTTATGTCTGAACGATGTCACAAATGTGTAACGATGCCACACTATAAAATAAGGACAAAGACCAGAAGAAACACTGACCATGATTAATGACAAAAGACAACGACTCCAATCCAACATAAATCGGCACGAAAAACTTTCCACTCTCCATGAAAACGTGCCTGCCACGTGCGAATGCTTATAAACAAGACATAATCCCAGGCATTCTTCAAAAAAGCACAGTGATTCTGTAAAAAAAAAAACAAAGTGATCACATATGCTCGTTGATCATATAAAGTTACATTCATCTCTGATGCCTGTGCTAAAGCTTCACAAGTCACAACTGTCATCCACCGATAATTACGGATCATGGCACACCTATACGCAAGGTGGGTGGGGCCGGCACCGTACTACGGCACGCACGAGGGAGCACACCTCGTCCCACGGTGGGATGAGTCGGTGACAGACAAGGGCGGGGCAGGGAGCGGCCGCGGACCGCTGCTCGACGCCCCGTCTGTATGTCTGTATACAGCGGGCAGTGACGTCAGCAGACGGACAGGGCCTGGACCGTGTCGCCGACCGCCTGGTAACACTGGCCCCCTGGTGACGTCACGGGTCCAGGAGACAACGTCCAGCAGGCGGTCATTTGGAGAGGTCGGCTCCACGCAAACATGAAGGTAGTTCGACAGGATGCTATGCAATACGCATGGACGGAGGTTCATGAAACACGTCTAGCTAAGAATACTTAATACACATACACTCAAACTGCAAAGAAAGCAAATATTTCTTACGAGCAGCAATATGTAATTTCACGACTACTAAATCTGATCATCTGAAACCACTGAAGTACATTTTGTAATCCAACAGTCACTCGGCCTGAGCGGGTGGAAAACGCCAGCCCATTTCACTGGCGCCAATGCAGGTTGCATCAGCAGAGTCACGCTGTCATGTGCCACATCGTATCATTAGACCGTGTCAAACGGATGAGTAACGCTAACGGTTAGCAGCAGCCGCACTAAAATGCGCTGGCGATTTTACGCTCATATAAATAGATGTTGGGCAGACAGACATGCAGTTAACTTCACACAGTCAGATGGACAGGCGGGTAGACGGGAAGATTGGCGCACAGCCACACGGACAAATAAAAAATAGACAGGCAGACAGAGAAACAAACATGTAGACAATATGTAATTACCCAGATAAACAGGACTTTAGATAGAAAGATAGACGGACAGATACACAGACAGATCGCAAGACAGGCAGACGAACAGACGGACAGGCACACAGACAGACAGACAGACAGACAGACAGACAGACAGACAGACAGATAGACAGACAGACAGACAGACAGACAGCCAGACAGACAGACACACCCAGACAGACAGACAGACAGACAGACAGACAGACAGACAGACGGGACGTTGTTTCTCCCAGCACCACAAAACTATAGCTCTCCCCACGGAATCAGGAAGCAGCACACGATATAGGCAGAGCGGCGATAGATTCAACTGATGAATGCAACCGGTGCTGATTAGGGATCATATCACTGTTGACATAAAATGTTATCGCCACACTAAAACTATCGTGGAACTAACTCATTGCATGCTGTAACTTGCATACGTTGGTTTGCAACATATGTAGGTGTCTCCACCTGAATATGCAGCTTCTGTTCTCTGCTACCTCGAAGTTGCAGATGTATGTATGATCACCAGAAGTGATCTCCCCAGTCACTTTTTGCTGTCTCTCGCTGCTTTTTATTGATTTTTCATCGCTTCATATCATAGGTCAACCGTCAATATACCACCTTAATCGTTTTTTATATTCTCACGTCTTTTCTTTATATCCCATGCTGTTTCCTGTTCTCGTCCAATGTTTCTTTTCACATTTTTTGTCTTTTGCCGCGCTGCTCAGTAGACTCAGCGCTGCCAGTTCCAGCGCAGCCACAGTCGGCTCCAATCCTGGCAGGCCCCTGACTCCGGAGTCGGGAGGCCATGTTTGGAAAGGATCCGTGACTCGGCCGCCGGCTCTGACTCCGAGTCAGCGGCCATGTTAGAGTCAGGCGACTCGAGTGCCGCCGGCCGCCATCGCTGCTGCAGCGCAGTGTGGGGGGAGTGATGGGAGGGGAGGGGTTC